AATTCAGCCTGGTCCTACAGATTCCAGATACAACCAGATGCAGAGGTGGCTGCATGCCAGCGGAGACCACGCCTGGGACCACCCAGCCACCCTCAAGCTAGAAATTATACTGCGGGTCTTCATGGAGGCTGTGGTCCATGTCCAACTTCATGGCTATTGGACTCTGTGCCTTCAGTAGGAAGGAGGAGTGACCAGAAAGATACCCGGGCTAGAGAGAAGAACAGAGAAAGAAGCTTCACTATTTCTTCATTTTTAAGGACTTTTTGTGACAGATGTCTCCTTCCCACCCACAACTTGGATTGTTTTTTCCATCTTGATGAAAATATTTGCATTTCAGCCAAAAACAAGGAAGACTCTGATGTATGTTTCAGGATTTACATAATGATTTAGCGATCTCTTAATATTCAGACATTATTGATTGATTACAAAATATGACTCCTCACAGAACCCCTTCAACACCTCCATCCCTATTAGACAACCTCGTGCCCTTTTCTATTGCTTCTGAGCTTCTCTGGCAGGTGCTGAGTGCCCAGCACACTTCTTCCTGCTGGCCTCTGCCAGCCATGCCTCTGGCTAAGCAGCTGAGCATCAGACTTGACGTCAATCTGTGCCCCTATTGTCTTCCCACCTCCCCATGGTCTCCCCATTCCCCGACTATCTCCATGTCCCCCCATAGTCTCCCCATCCCCCCACTACCTCCCCATCTCCCCACTAGTTCGCCATCCTCCTGCTATCTCCCCGTCCCCTTGTTATCTCCCCATCCCCCACTATCTCCCCATCCCACCACTATCTCCCCATCCTCCCACTATCTCCCCATCTCCCCACTATCTCCCCATCCCCCCGCTATCTCCCCATCCCACCACTATCTCCCCATCCCCCATTATCTCCCCATCCCCCTACTATCTTCCCATCCCCTCGTTATCTCCCCATCCCCCCACTATCTCCCCATCCCCCCATCTCCCCATCCTCCCACTGTCCCCCCATTGTCTCCTGGCTTCTGTGTCCACTCCTCCCAGGAGATGGCAGAGCTCTCAGCAGGGGCCCTGCCATTCCTCTTCCCTTGCCCTTGGTAATGCTGATGACCAAGGAGTGACACTCACCTTCCAGGGTGACAGCAGGACCCCAAATGCCAGTGCTCCCCACCCTGATGTGGAGCCAAACCAAATGGTGCCTTCAGATAAGGTGACAGAGTGGACAACAGTGATCACAGGAGAGAGAAAGGGGAGCTTGGTACACTGGGCCAGCCTAGCCTTCTAGGGATTTCTGTACATTGATGTGATTATTAGCTGCAATTACTGCAATCAGCTTTGTTTTGCTCAAATTTTATATACCAAACACCTCATCTTAACATAAAGCAATCTTTAAGAGGTCCGGATGGGGAAGTGCAAGCCTGCATTAGCTGCATGGGCTGTTCAGTGGTCGTTTCAGCCTTCACCCGCTGAAGAGCCACCGTCCCCTCGCATCTGTGGGGCAGGAGGAGCACACATTGTGTGTCCGAGTGTTTTAATGTGCAGCCACCGACAAGTCTGAAAATACACCCCATCCGCCTGCCTTGACAAATGGCCAGAAAGGTCAGGTTTGAAGTTAGGATTTTCAGATTCATCAAAGTTCTGTGCCAGATGGTGGTGGCATTGGAAGAGTCAGCTCCCAGCTCCCCGCTTCCCTTCCCAGCGCCCGTCCACCGACATGCAGAGTCCAAGTGCACTCATGAAGATCCTACCTGCAGACCCCACCTGCTCATCCAGGGTGTCCATCGTCTCCGCAGACCACCAGCCCTCGGCTACTCTCGGGCCTGATGTGCACCCCCCACAGCCTGGTGACCCTCGGGAGGATGAGCTGGGGAGACCCAGACCTACAGGCAGGATTGAGCCGTGTGTGTAGGGTACTAGGGTTTGGAGGGCAACAGGCTCCAGGTGGGCACATCCTTGACCCATGAGGAAGCCCACAGCCAGTGGACCAGATGGGGTCCTTCAAGTGGGCAGGACCTCTAGTTGAGGTCTAAGGGAAGCATTGCTCATGAATTATATCCATGGGAAAGTAAGATTCCACAAGGATAAGTAACTTACTTGAAGCGATGCAGCTAGCAAGCGGGAGGGCCAGGTTTCCAACCGCGGTCTCCAAGCCTCCCAAGCCTTCCTTTCTGACTTCAGATTTCAGTACAACAGGTGTCTTCCTGAAACAGAAGGTGTTTTGCATTTTGTCCTTGCTTTACAGTATCAAAGATGCCTTACCTTTGTTTTAAAACAAGACTCAGATTTAGTGATTCCAACTTACAGTTAGGAGTAGAGGGTCTTAAAAAATCAAAGACTTCTAAGCCATGGAAAATATTAAAACAATTCGCAATTTAGTTTCAACTCAAAACCTCGAATGTTTCTGTGAGCCAGGCTATGTGCTGAGGCCTTGGACTGTTGAGCTAACTACAAATAAAAAGCAATTTTTAAAATATTTTGCAAGAAAAACATTCAGGCAGCCTGATGTCAAAATTCAGCATGTAGTGCATAACCTCACTCAACATACACTATCAATGTTTGAAACTTATGTTTTGATTTCACAGTGTGGCCAAGTCATGGAGAAAGGATGTGGGGACAGGTGCGTGAGGTGGTGTTGGGGAGAGACAGTGAGTGAGAACGAGCTCCTGCCGCAGGGCAGTGCTCTTCACATGTTCTACTTAAATTACCCTTACACGTTCTACTTAAATTACCCTTATAAGAATGTTGAAAAACACCTTCAGTTGCCCTTTAAAATGTTTCATCATGAGTTTAAATATTTACAAAGGGCATCATTATGCAACATTTGAAAGATTGACATTTTAAAATAAAGATGAAATATCACTCTTTAAAATTTGCTAAGTGGAATTTAAATATCAATGCAATTTGCCATCATTACCCTTTTGTAAAAGATGCCGAAACACTCTTTCTTAGCAGAAATTGTACATTGTTCCTTTTTGTCCTTGACCTCATAGATCTATTTCTTCTTCCTAGTTTTATCCTAATGAAAAATATTGTTATGACAGTCTTTTGCCTCCCAATCACATTGTCTATAATAGACATGTACACATACCAGTGAAATTAAAAACTTGATTTTGATTTTCTGTGGACCCATATCACAAGATGATTTCATATTTTGTCTGACCAGTCTCCCAGGGTACTCCTGAAGGAGGGAGGCCTTCATCGAAGACAGTGAAGGCGTGGTAAAACAGATACTGCTCAATACAGTGTCATCACCCCTGCTGCTGACTGTCCATCTGAATGGCAACCCCTCTCCAGAAGGCTGAATCGCCCTGTTCCTATTCTACGATTCACCATCAGCAAAGCACATGCCAGACAAGGAAAGCACAAAGCCTGACTTGGGGTGGGGTACTTTGATTAAAGAAGTGTCTTGATTACAGAGACTCACAGACCCCACTATGTACCACATTTGACAGTAGTTTTAGCATCCAATATTAAAATTCAGGATGGGTGAGAAATAGGTCTCTGTCACAGACGAAATGTCTCCCCCCAGATTCCCATATGGAATCCCTGTCCCCTAATGTGTGGGTGTGAGGAGGTGGGGTAGTATCGTGTCATCATAAGAGTCCCGAGACAGCTTGCTTCCTCTCCCTACCATGTGAGTACGCTGAACCTGCTGGCACCTTGGTCTTGGACGTCCAGCCTCTAGAACTGTGAGAAACAAATGTTTGCTTTTTAAGCCACCCAGTCCAAGGTATTTTGTTGGAGTGGCCTGAGCTAAGATCGCTTCTTTCCTGAAAAGTGGGAGAAGAGGAACTGAGTTGAAAGAGAGTAAAGGAAGGAGCGCCGGCATGAACATCAGGTCACTTTTAGAAAAGAATGTGCTATGGGTTGACCTGTGTCCCCCAAAAACCTATGTTGAAGTCCTAACCCCAACACCTCAGAGCGTGACTATTTGGAAACAGGATCATGAAAATGTAATTAGTTAAGATGAGGTCATGCCGGGGTAGGTAATCCAATATGTCCTTATGACAGAGACACAAGGGGAGAAAAACGTCAGGGATAGAGGCAGAGCCCTGGGCAATGCAGCTGCAAGCCAAGGACTGTGAGGTGAGGACCGCCAGGTGAGGACCACATTGAGGACCACCAGGTGAGGACTGTGAGGTGGGGACCGCCAGGTGAGGACCACATTGAGGACCACCAGGTGAGGACTGTGAGGTGGGGACTGCCAGGTGAGGACTGTGAGGTGGGGACCGCCAGGTGAGGACTGCCGGCCACCAGTGGCAGCTGGAAGAGGTGAGGAAGGCCTCCACCCAGAGTGTCGGAGGGCGAGTGGCCCGGCTGAAACCTTCATTTACAATGTCTGGCCTCTAAATTATGGGAACAAATTTCTGTTGTTCTAAGCCACGCAGCTGTGGTATACTTGGTTACAGCAGACTAAGGAAACTCACACAATCTAGGTAGAAGCTGAGGATCTGGAAACTGGTTCCCTGAGGCCATCTGTGTCTGCACACCCCCTAGAAAGGCTACACTGCAAAGGAAAATCTGCTTCCAGAACTTCCACTTGCCTTCGTCTAGACACCCTAGAAAGGGAGATGCCTGTTCCAACCAGAGCCCTAATTGACTCAAACCCAGGAGGTGAGCAACCGACACATGTGCACCCAACACAGTCACGTGTTCCGGGAAGGCGGTTCCAATCCAGACCCCAGGAGACGGTTCTTGGATCTCGCGCAAGAAAGAATTCAGGGCGAGTCCGCAGTGCAAAGTAAAAACAACTTTATTAAGAAAGTCAAGGAATAGGCCGGACGCAGTGGCTCATGCCTATAATTCCAGCCGAGGTGAGTGGATTGCCTGAGGTCAGGAGCTCGAAACCAGCCTGGCTAACATGGTGAAACCCCATCTCTACTAAAAATACAAAAATATTAGCCAGGCGTGGTGGCACACGCCTGTAGCCTCAGCTACTCGGGAGGCTGGGGCAGGAGAATCACTTGAACCCGGGAGTCGGAGGTTGCAGTGAGCCAAGATCGCGCCACTGCACTCCAGCCTGGCCACAGAGCAAGAGTCCGTCTCAAAAAATAAATAGATAAATAAAAGTTTACTTTGCCAAGGTTGAGGACGTGCCCGTGACAAAGCATCAGGAGGTCCTAACGACACATGTCCAAGGTGGTCAGGGCACAGCTTGGTTTTACGCATTTTACGGAGCCATGAGACATCAATCGATGTATGTAAGAAGTACACTGGCTCTGTTTGGAAAGGCGGGACATCTTGAAGCAAAGGCAGGAAGACTCAAAGTGGGAGGGCGCTTCCAGGTGACAGACAGGTGAGACACAAAGGGTGGCATTCTTCTGAGTTTCTGATTAGCCTTTCCAAAGGAAGCAATCAGATATGCGTCTATCTCAGTGAGCAGAGGGGTGACTGAGTAGAACGGGAGGCAGAATGGAAACTAAGCAGTTTCCAGCTTGAGTTTTCCTTAGTGATTTTGGAGGCCCAAGATGTTTTCCTTTCACAACCAGCAGATGAAGAGAAGGGCAGCCTCTGAAGTCCTCACCTCTCTGAAGGGAAAGCAACAGAGAAAAAAAATGTCAAATATCTTTCCTTGAGATTCTGGGCTGCACAAACTGTAAATGTTAAAAATAGGAAGTAAACTCCTCTCCTTTACTCTACATGTTGTTCCCAAAACACATGAAGAAAAATTGCCAGCCACGTCAGCAAATTGCTGAGTCACTGATAAAAATGTCAAATTCAACTGTTATGCTTCTTAACGATAAAGAGATACTATTAGTCAACATCTTAAAAATGATTTACAAGTTAACTCTTTAATGTCATCTAAGGTATGACAGACCCGCTTTGACTCACCTCCTAGTTGATTTAGGAGCAATGTTTTAAAAAGTACTAAGATGAGAAGCTTTATAGCTAAAAATCACAACCAAAAATATTGAAATATTTACACGGGTCCCTTAGCAAGTGTTGTAATTTATTTTGAAATGGAAACTGCTTGTCAACCTTGAGTGACTGAAGAAGGCAAAGGTGGTGCATGCTCTTTGATTATAAAGGTTGTACTCTCTAAGAACACCACAATTCTTCTCCACTGCGTGCAGTCACTTCTGAAGAAGCTTGTGGTTTGTCAGCTCACGCCAGTGCAAACGCAGTCACAGCCAACGACACAAGTACTGGGGTCTAACAAATTCAGCTTTCAAGTTTCCACATTTAAAAGAATAACACATAAGGAAGAGAATAATAAATGGGAAGTGGGAAGTAAGATGACTGAATCAGCCCCTTAGAGCCCCAAGGAGGAGACAGAGCCACATTAGAACTCTTCAGAGCTCAATACTAGCCACTAAATTTCTTCAAAGATCAGATTCCAATGTCCCATAATCTCCTTACAAATTAGAAAACCAGCCTTTCCTTAGAAGAGTTTATAAACAACTCTCCCCTCTGAATGAAGAATTCTTAAGACTTCAGAACCTACGACGCTGAGAATGTCTTTGCAATGATACCTGGAAGCTCAGAGAACGGACACTTGCGATGCCCGCTCCTGGTTCATGCATTTTTAAGTTGCTGATGGTTTTCAATCAGTGAGGATAAGAAAGTCTCTTTCATAGGCCCTGTAGGCTCCTTTCTCTTTTCTTTTTTTCTTTTGAGACAGAGTTTTGCTCTTGTTGCCCAGCTGGAGTGCACTAGTGTGATGTCGGCTCACTATAACCTCAGCCTCCTGGGTTCAAGCAATTCTCCTGCCTCAGCCTCCCAAGTAGCTGGGATTACAGGCATGCACCACCGTGCCCTGCTAATTTTGTATTTTTAGTAGAGACAGGGTTTCACCATGTTGGTCAGGCTGGTCTTGAACTCCTGACCTCAAGTGATCTACCGATCTTGGCCTCCCAAAGTGCTGGGATAACAGGTGTGAGCCACGATGCCCGGCCACTACTTTCTTTTTAAGATCTATTTCAAGTAGAACAATTATTAGAAATCCTTAAACTATAATTTCTGGCCTTTCTTAATTTCCTTGAAAACAGAAACTACATCAGAAGCATACAATACATGGTTACTAAATGAGATGTGACGATGTGAAAGGAGACGCTCAAACTTAATTCCCCCTCTCCAGTCCTATGGCCTCCCTGGATCTGAACGAGTAACACATTGAAGGATTCCTCTAAATAATCAGATTCTAAACATTAAAGACAATTATATACCAAACAGGCAAACACGGTGCATACTTTAAAAGCCAGATATATTTTTAAAAGATCATGCTTACAATAAGTAAATTACATATTAAGGAAACATCAAAATAAAGTAGATGAATAAAAAGGCACACTCGAAAAATGTGAGCGCAGAAAGGACGGTTCTTTTTGTTTTGTTTCTAATGTCAGAAGAAAGAGAAAGAGATATATTAAAATCATTGTCTTCAAGGGAAGGTTTCTGTCAGTTGAAGTAGTTAGCAATGGCTTCTTTTCTCCTGTGACCAAAGCAGGTTTCCCTGTGCTGGCTTCTGAGGAGGTAATCAGTCTTCTGCCATGTATAGGCGATACATGAGGGCGACGGCCACTGCAGAGATGGCAGGGATCACCCAGTTGGTCCACCAACTAGAAAGACACAAAAAGCAATCATGCTGACATCATGTGCACTGTGGTGAACTCAAAGTCTTTGCCCTTTCTAACAGAAAATTACCAGGGCATGTTTTTCTTAACTCTGTAACCAATTTTGCTGAAAAGGCGACCTGGATTTGCTAAAAGTGACATGAGTGTAATGCATGCCCCGCTATATGTAGGGCAGGAATCACTCTGCCCTACTGGCTTTATGAGAAAACTCACGCCCCACTTGGCCAGGAGCGGTGGCTCATGCCTGTAATCCCAGCACTTTGGGAGGCCAAGGAGGACGGATCACTTGACGTCAGGAGTTCGAGACCAGCCTGGCCAACATGGTAAAACCTCTACCAAAAAACACAAAAATTAGCTGGGCGTGGTGGCAGTAGCTAATTGTAATCTCAGCTACTGGGGAGGAGGCTGAGGCAGGAGAATCGCTTGAACCTGGGAGGCAGAGGTTGCAGTGAGCTGAGATGGCCCCACTGCATTCCAGCCTGGGCTATAGAGCGAGACTCTGTCTCAAAAACAAACCAACAAAAATAAACAAACCAAAAAACAAACGCCCCACCAGCTGTAAAGTTGAAGAGTATGGGCCCTGTGATTATTAAGGCTGCCATTAACACCACAGCTTTAAGCTTAGGTTTGGAAAATCTAATCTTTACAACCTGTGCTGAAGTGGATTTAAAAGGTTAAGAAACAGAATGGCCAAACTACTTCGTGTGTGGTCCACAGGTCTAAATTCACACCCCCACCAAAAAAATGCCTAATTTACAGTCCTGATGCATAGAAGTTCGATCTGTAAATTTTACAGATTATGAATCAAATCAGAGACAAAGGAGGGATGAGCTATAATTTCTATTTGAATCTTTAAATTAGTTTTGAATCTTTAGATTTCGATCTTTGACTTAATTTCTTAGAAAATGAAAATTAATGTGTAAGACTTCAGAAATAGACTAGGTCTACACATGTGTTTCATAGGGATTGTAAGTGCAATCGTTTCATAAGGATTACAAGTGTAACTTTCATAAGAATTACGAGCATAACTTTTGTCTTAGTGGGGTTTGGTGGGGTTTTTCAACTTCACTTTAGAAAGAAACTGGCTTGTTAATGAAGAGTAGGGTGAAATACTGCCTGTGGGCAGGGAATATTCCAAAACACCAACAGACTGAGGCAGTTAAATTTGACAGGATGAAATACAAATGTGTGGTTTTAAGCTTGGGTCCAAAAAAGTGGCTATTATGGAAGTCAATATGGTAGAGCTGCCAAAAATGTGAATGTGCACTTGGACTATCATAAACAAATCTGGTGCCTAGAACAATTGAGTCATGCTACACGCAGATTACCAGCTTCAACTTTAAAGCTAACAAAAATGACAAAGGGAAACTGACCCGTGCTTAGGGAAATGTAATCACTAGAGTTTAAGAAACAGACATGGACTGAAAGGAAGCAAATGGAAAGTCTGCCTGGATGAGCCAGGGAGGCGCTGTGGGACTGGCCGCCTAAGATGCTGCCCTGGGGGAAAAGGAAATGCAGTTGTTCTGTTTGTTCCTTGGGGTGGATGCAGCCAGCCGGTGAGATCACGCGGCGAGATCACGTGGCTGTGGACGGTGTTCACTGTCCCCTGCCTGAAAGCTTGGGGCTGAGCGCTCTGAACAGTCTAGCCTTCAGTGGAAAGTTGCTGAGACAGCACAGTGTCAGGTCCAGGAACCCAGCAGGTGGGGGACGCACCTTGTCCAGCCTGGACCCATGAGCCTTCCCATCCACCACTGCTTTAAAAGAAAGCTCCCACATACCTGGAACTAGAATCAACAGTAGTGATAAGAGTTTCCTGAAACACGAGAGGAAAAAGTAAAGTAAGTTCAAGGGAATGGTGAACTTATTCCATTGACTCAAATCCTTCTGAAAATAAGAACACAGTATTTTACGCAATGCATTCTTCAGAAGATGTCAAAAAGGAAAATTATAAACTTCTTTTCACTAAAATGCCTAACTTTGTTTTTTTCCAGAATAAAACATTTTAGTCATCATCTATATTTACTTAAGGACATAACCTCAATAATTTAAAAACATTCAAAATTAGTATGCTACATAAAATATCTTGCACACGCTAGACATCTGAATACTTTAATGCAGAAACTGAAAAGAGACATTCATGTTCACATACACATAATCCCATGTCACCTTTAGAAAAAGCAGTTTCATTCTTCAAAAGCATGAACAACACAATGTTCAATAAAAAAATCAGTTATTTTATTCAAATCTGACAGATGTAAAAAAGTGTACCTATGTTACATTAAATACACGTGAACCAAAAAGAACGGCCATTTTAAATTCTACACTCTAGGCCAACTTTTTCGGGGGGCTGCTTTAATTCTCACCAGACGGTACCAGCAAGACACCAGACCAGCCTCACGGGACTGCTCTGCTGGTGTCACACTTGTCACCAGCTGGTCACTGTCAGCCTAACAGCAAATCCACAAATAAGAAAGCCCTGTTTTTACCAGCAAGACACCAGACCAGCCTCACGGGACTGCTATGCCTGGCGTCACACTTGTCACCAGCTGGTCACTGTCAGCCTAACAGCAAATCCCCAAATAAGAAAGCCCTGTTTTTATCCTCCAGGGCTTTCTGGGAGCAGCTCTTTTGAGTAGCACTAAAGTGAATGGACAATGATTCTGGAAAAACGCATACTTCTCCAAACAGCTGAAAAGCTAAGGTCTAGTGAACTATAAACTTTTGGGGCTTGAAAATGGGTTAAGAAGCATTCTTTTGATGTTCCACACCAATATAAGCATTAGTGCCTCAAACAGAAGTTGCCATAAATAAGACAGCTTCAGATCTGCAGTTTCCCAAAGCACAGATAAAAAAGCATTAGCAAAACAATCAGCGGCCTGCAGTAAGACAAAGCATCACTCTGCAAAGCACGTTAGAGAAACTCCCATGAAAAGACAGACACCTTTCAGGGAAAAGCAAGCAAAGCAGTTATGAGACCCACCAACCTTGAAACATTGCCTTTAAGGTTCCTGACACAGTAGGGGAAAAAAAAGGTAAGTCATTTAAAAAAAAATTGCAAATGTATTATCTATTCCAGCAATTTTAAAATCTTAGCATCTATAAAAATATTCATAACTACGGCAAGAGGATTTTCCAAATTTTGTATATATGAATAAAATTAACAAAGATTACTAGAAATAATCAAAATATACAAAAATATTAGTTAGCTATTACAGGACACAATCAGTTCTGAAACAAAAGAATCACTGAAGGTAAAATATGATTGTCAAACTAGAAAGTTAAGCTTGAAACAACCAACAGAAGGCAAACACAAACATCCATGGCATCGTTAAAATGAGCACAGGCATTTCACCAACTGCTGACAACTCTGGAACCTCCCACCTGCCGTCCTGCTGCCTTCGTGGTTACCATAGGTGAGTGCTAAGGTTAAAACACTACTCTCGCACCAGCAATACCAGCAACAGCCATGAATTCTAAAGAGGGGAACCTGAAATAATCCTATCATCTTTTGATTGTTGATTATCTTCTTGGCTCTGTAGCCCAGGATGCTTGACAGTTAGAGGAAGTTTGAATTACCACTTTGCACTTTGATGAAAAAGTAATTGGTCTTTAGTGGTCAATGTTCTGAGGGCCTCACTTGGGTTTAGGGACGTGACTATCAAAGTATGTCAGCAATGAACAAGGAGAAAGACGATGGTTTTTATGATTGGCTCTGCCACCTGTTCACTCCATGACTTTGAGGGTTCAACTTCAGTAAAAAGAGGTTAACAATCAAATCAGTGTGTCAAAGTCTGAGCATGGTGGCTCATGCCTGTAATCCCAGCACTTTGGGAGGCCAAGACTGGCGGGTTGCTTGAGTCCAGCAGTTCAACACCAGTCTGGGCAACATGGCGAAACCCAAATACAAAAATTAGCTGGGCACAGTGCTGTGTGTCTATGGTCCAGCTACTCGGGAGGCTGAGGTGGGAGGATTGCTTGACCCCGGGAGGTGGATGTTGCAGTGAGTCGAGATCCATGCCACTGCACTCCAGCCTGGGCAACAGAGTGAGATCCCGTCTCAAAAAAATAAAACAAGTATGTCATGGATAATGACTTATGAAAGTCATGTGAATCCATGTAAATTATAAGCTCCATAAATTATGAAAAGCATGCAAAGCCCAACAAGCTTTTGTGCATCAGAGTCATCTCATTTATAAGTTCATCTAACATAACCCACTCTTTAGTTGGAAGCCTATCTCTCTTCAAATACTGACAGAGTGATGTCTAACACGGCAAGCCCAGAACCTAGAGAAGAAGCTTGAGGGACTGCAACTGACCAGCCTGAGATGGCTGCTGGACGGTTCTGGAGCATGTCTGTGATTCAGGTGCTTAACACTTCTCAGCAGCAATGTACGCACCTCCCTTGGCAGGTCTAACATGGAGATACTGTGAGGACCAAATAATTTCTATAAGAATGCTTTAAAAACTGTAACCAAGAAGGGGTATTGCTACGACTAATATTCTCTACGTAAGCAAATGTGATAGAAACATTTATGTTCGATTAAAATGCATGATGTCTAAGTCTACAAACATCTTAATTTGGTAACTCAACACAATGCTTTCCTTAGGGCAAGTTCAAGCTAATAATCTTTACTGCATTTTATTTCACTATTCAACTAGATATTTTAAGCAGACAACATTTCAAAAATTCAGATCACAGTGTACATTCTTCAACCTCTCGGAGATAGGTGGATGGGTTATACAGACACATGACAAAAGAAGTACCTAAGGACACTCTTTACTTCTGCTAAACCAAAAGCACAAGAAAGACAAATCCAGAAAAGTGCTCATGTATTTCCTTTCATTTCATCTGCTTATGGCCTCTCAAAAAGGCCTGCAAGCTCTCGTCCCACATTCTTCCGGTTCTGCTCTCACTGAAGCAAAGTCACAATAAAGAAGAGTTGTTTAAAAAAAAATACTCAGAAGTTAGTTAATCTGTAAAAATCTCTGAAGAGATTAAAACATCTACTTTAGGCTGGGTGTCATGGCTCAAGCCTGTAATCCCAGCACTTTGGGAGGCTGAAGCAGGTGAATGCCTGAGGTCAGGAGTTCAAGACCAGCCTGGCCAACATGGTGAAACCCCATCTCTAATAAAAATATAAAAAATTAGCTAGACACGGTGGCAGGCGTCTGTAATTCCAACTACTTGGGAGGCTGAGGCAGGAGAATCGCTTGAACCCAGCAGGTGGAGGTTGCAGTGAGCTGAGATCACGCCATTGCACTCCAGCCTGGGTGACAAGAGCAAAACTCCGTCTCAAAAACAAGCAAGCAAACAAACAAACAAAAATCTACTTTAAAAAGTTAGTGTGATTCTCAAACTTCAGTGAGACCTTCCACACCTAACAAGCTGATCAAATATCAACTGCTAATGCTGGAATGAAGTAAACCATGTCTTAACACACAAAGGGCTGTCACTCAGTGTTGTCAGGAGAGCCTTCTTTGATGCTAAAAGCTAAAGTCCCGGAATTTACCCCATAAACTTGCTCTGTTCCCAAAATATTCTCAGTATCAAAGTAATTGCCACTTTAAAATAGAAAATAAGAACAATAAACAGTAACGGGCAATTAATCCAACAGTATAGGTTGTAATACATGTGTTCTAAAAGCAAACAAAGAAGGAAAGGCTTTGTCCTTCACACTGAAAGCAGCTATGGCAGGAGACATGGGTACAATCTTAGACCTACAAGTGTTTTCTGCTTATCATCTTTATGGTTAGGGAAGCGGCTGGCCCTGCGGTCATCTAAGTTCATCTAATGAATCTTAAACTTTTGTTTTGCTATAGCTAAATGACTTATACCAAAATGATTACCATGCCGAACACATGATAAAAAAATAAATATATATTCTTCCCTTAAAAGACTTCACAGAAAAAGGAAAAACTTCATGCATCACAGAATTTCAGCTGTTCAAAAAGTAGCCTCAAAAAAGGTGCTAACGTCAAATGAACTCACAGCAAGGGTTCTGAGCAATTGTCACAGAGGCCATTCAAATTCTGAAGCCAATTTTTTATCTTCTGGAAGTACTCATATCATTAACATTGAACTTAAGTCTTTCTTGAATAAGGAGAGAACATACAAATAAAATTGCTTTGTACTAAACAGTATTACACAAGACTTGTATTGTACTATCAGGGATGTTGAGGTAAATGTGGCCTTTAAGCTTATATCATTGGATTAACTGCTTTGATCCTTTTGTAGACTAAAGACGATGTCTTGGCAGCACCAACTCAAAAAATCAGCTCACCAGTTCTCAACACAAGCTCAGTGGGGTCTTGTTGCACTTACTCTAATAAAACCAAGAATTTACATCAAAACAAAAAATTATGCTTTCTTTTTTGTCGTGTGTTTTAAGCAAAACTTTCCCCCATAGCCCTTTAATTAGACATTAGAAACTACTTTGCCTACTTGTACTTTTCAGGAACTTAGGCTGTGCTCTTCCATTGTCACCCTACATTTATCTTCAAATATCAGTGAGATGGGCAGTTCAGAGAGAAAGGCTAGTGAATCATAACATAAAACTAGTATTGCCAGAGTTATTTTCCTTTCCCAAGGAAAAGTACGTCAAAAGGGTATCATTTAATTTCATTAAATTCACCTGACAAATATTTATGAACACCTACTAGGCCCAAGAGACTTAAAGATGAAGAAGACATGAGACGTACCCTTAAAGATTTAAGTAATAAAACCACTGTCCATTCAGATTTTAAGTTCTCTGAAAATAAGGCTTGTGTCAAACCTTTTAGATCACAAGCACAGTGCTACTACAAAACGTAGCACTTCAAAGGGTATATATTGATAATTATGACGAAAAATGTAGTTTAAGTATTGACAGCCTTAAAAAAATTACACACAAGCCATCCTAACAAATCACACTGACAGTTTTCCATACATAAAAAATGTTTGCTGAGCCAGTAGGTTACATATTCATTTATCTAGAAAGACCGGTGCTGGCCTCAGTCAGGTAAATAAAACACCTCTGCCTTCAGTTTGATAAGTATTAAAGACAATGAAAACATCCAGAGACATTTGAGATGGTCACACTCACCGGAGGCTTGCTTAACTTTGGTCTGTCGTCCTGCAAGGAAAAAATAAGGCATATTATGGAATTAAAAAATCTACAAAGGTACCACTTCCAAAATGTTGACTTTGAGATTTTTTTTAATTACAATTCAGTAATTACCATTTCAGATTCAATATTTAGCTATTAAACGCAAAGTTTGATCCATCTGATTTAACAGCAAAAATCAGTAGCAGATTAAGTGCCAAGAGATATTTTCTATCTAGAGTTCCAAAGTTTAGAACGGCGCCCATGACAGTCCTCTGGACATGTTGATGTGCACACACCTTTATTAGACTCAGATTGTGATATGTAATTCAGGGAGCAGCTGAAGACTAATGCTTCCCTTCTGTCCTCTCAAATTCCATTTGAGATTGTGCACGTGTCTCTTACGTGTGTGACCTCTTCAGTTAAGCCCTGCAATCTCCCAGGTTTAGAGTCATAAACTATTTCAACTTCAGGCTGCAGCTGTCAAAAAGACAGTGTGTTTAAAGGCTGGCCAGGGGGAACCCCAGGGGGCAGATGAAGCAGAAATGCCATAGTCAGAGCCTGAAACCTAACCCACAGCTAGAAACAAGGATGCGATCAGGCATGTGTAAGGGCAGGCCTCCCTGATGACCCCAAAACAACTTAGCCTTTGTGAAGTATGGGATGAAAATATAGGGGCAGATAAACTTGTCAGATAAATGACGCTTCCTCCCTCAAAGTACGTATCTCCCACCACCAAAAACAAAATCAAACGAACCTCCCCAGTCAATGAAGCTGTTCTCAAATGGATTTCCTACTTTCGAGCCTTCTACAAAGAACCTAATGTAACCTTTCCTTCATTCACAGTCATTACAGGAAGCATCGTGGTATATGATAAGGCTTTTCCTATAATTTTAAGAGTTTCTCAGTTTGCTCACTTGGAAAGGCTATTTGCCTTTCCATTTTTTTCTTAAGAGAGCAGAGCTGGCTCCTAGCAGGCCTCCGTCCCCTTCTGGTGAGCTGCTCACCATGCACAAGTGGGAAGGCAGGACGGAGCCAGGCACTCCCAGAGGTGGACAGGGCAGCTGCGTGTGCGGCCCTGGGATCCACTCCAGATGCTCAGGGCGCTTGGAGACTTCTTTCCAAGTTTTCAGCGATTTTCCTGACAACTTAGGTTGACAGACTAGTGACATTTAACATGGTCATTTACAACTGCCACAGAAGGGTCTAAAATCATAACACAGCCCAACATGCCTGATCCCATCCTTGTTCATAGAAAAGCCAAATCAGGGCCAGGCGCGGTGACTCACACCTGTAATCCCAGCACTTTGGGAGGCCGAGGTGGGTGGATTACCTGAGGTCAGGAGTTCAAGACCAACTTGGCCAATATGGCAAAACCCCATCTCTACTAAAAATACAAAAAAATTGGCCAGGCGCAGTAGTGGGAGCCTGTAATTCCAGCTACTCGGGAGGCTGGGGCAGGAGAATGGCGTGAATCCAGGAGGCGGAGCTTGCAGTGAGCCAGGATCGCGCCACTGCACTCCAGCTTGGGCGACAGAGCAAGACTCAGTCTCAAAAAAAAAAAAAAAAAAAAAAAAGTAAAGAAAGAAAGAAAGCCAAATTAGGCCAGTGTTTTCCAAAAGTTGGTCAACGGACTGGTCCAGAGCTGACATCCTCGAAGGTCTGGGGTACAGTGAGCGGAATACAGACAATGCGCTAGTTCTACAGAAGGCAGAGTTATTCATTTCACAGAGCTGCATTTTTATACTTTTTAAATCATTTTTTAGAACTAAAATATCCTTGGTCTGATGAAAGTAGAAGTGGGATTCTTAATAAAAATATTTCGGTCGGAAAAGGAAAGAAAGCAATGCTGGGTTGATTGTCCCACCCTGTAAAAGGTGCTGCCCCACGGAACTTCTAGGACTGAGCAGCACTCCACTCCCCGTGCGTGGCTGTGGGGTGGGGCATGCTGACTAAAACGAAGTGCCAGTAAAAAATGCAACCAGGCTGGGCACAGGGGCTCATGCCTGTAATCTCAGCACTTTGAGAGGCTGAGGTGGGTAGATGGCTTGAGCCCAGGAGTTTGAGAACAGCCTGGGCAACACGGTAAAACTCCATCTCTACAAAAAATATGAAATTTATCAGGTGTGGTGGTGTGTGCCTGTAGTCCCAGCTACCAAGAGGCTGAGGCAGGAGGACGGCTTGAGCCCAGGAGGTTGAGGCTGCACTGAGCCACGATCGTGCCACTGCACTCCAGCCTGGGTGACAGAGTAAGACCTGTCTCAAAAAAAAAAAAAAAAAAGCAACAGTGAAATGCAAAGACATTTTTGGTCAATTTATTTATGACAAAAATGGTGTCCTAAAATCAGGAGTTGTTTTTGCTTTACTCCTTTTTAAATGTGTATCCATGCAAGCTTACAGACTTGGGTAAGGTCATCTGATAGCCTTAAATACAAATAAGAAAAGGCCCTCAAAATGTACTTACTGGATGGAGCTCCCCAATGATGTATGTTTTGGACATTTCCCTGGCATCTGTAGAGTGCCCGACATCCTCAAAGTTCTCAGTCGCGTCACCTCCAGCTTGTTCCCTTAAGACTTCTTCCCCACCAGGATGCTGTTCAAAGGAGAGGGAGAACACATCTTTTTTTCAGGTAAATGAATTAAGAGAAAATGGCCAGAATTTATTTAACCAAACAGGTGACTCCTTCAGAAGACACAGATGACAACAGGAGACTGTAACTTATACATAAACATGGATTAAAACAACACAGGCCTTTATATTCAATTTCCATCATGCAAGTACAATAGGCCTAGGCAGCAGAATTGCTTGGGCCCAAGTTCAAGGCCAACCTGGGCAACACTGTGAAACCCTATAACTATAAAATATAATTTAAAATAATTAGCCGGGCATGGTGGCACACCCCTGCAGTCCCAGCTACATGAGAGGCTGAGGTGGGAAGATGGCATAAGCTCAAGGGGCTGAGGCTTCAGTGAACAGTGACTGCACCTCTGTACTCCAGCCTGGGTAACAAAGGGAGACTCTCAAAAAGAAGTAAAAAAAAAAAAATTTAAAAACAACCTTTTCCGGCCGGGCACAGAAGCTCACGCCTGTAATCCCAGGCAGATCACTTGAGTTCAGGAGTTTGAGACCAACCTGGCCAACATGGCAAAACCCTGTCTACCAAAAAATACAAAAATTAGCCAGCCGTGGTGGCGGGCACCTGTAGTCCCAGCTATTCAGGAGGCTGAATCTTAAGAATCCCTTGAATCCAGGAGGCGGAGGTTGCAGTGAGCCGAGATTGCGCCACTGCATTCCAGCCTAGGCGACAAAGCGAGACTGTCTCAAAAAAAAAAAAAAGAGAGAAAGAAGGAAAGAAAGAACCTTTCACTAATACCATATGTTGCTTCCCCATGTCATTCATACAGCTTAGAAAAAGCATGAGGCTCATGTCCTTCATCCTTTGGTAATGTCTGTTTTGTTTTTCCATAAGGCTCTCAAAATTGCTCTTATTCTCCACCCAATCTATTTTTTCTTGACTCCTGCACCTGAGACTGACTACTCTGACTTCTTAGTCTAAGTGTGGCCTCAAGAGCTGGCATGCCTCCTGAGATGGCAATTCACAAGAGGCACGTGTGTGTCACTTCCCTCTGGAAAGCACCCTGCGTGCCCGTGCCGGCAATGCACAGACAGCACAGCCTGTCAGACAGATAAGTCCCTGCTTTTGCAGAACTCACTTTCTGGTAGGAAAAAAGAAAAAAAAACAAAAAACAAGTAACTTGCTGAAGACGCTGCCACCAGGCCACAGTGCTGCCAGGACACAATGGAGGCACGGAGGCAGGGGCTCAACTCCGCACTGGGGAGAGGCGGGAAGAGCGTCTTGTGGAAAAAAGGAGTTTTAGTGCTTTCAGCTGCTTTAATTAGTGAACCAAGATGGTCATGATGCAGGGAGGGAAATTTTTTCTCCAAGATGATTGACAAGTGGGGCTTAGTCACAGGACAGAGGTAAGGAGGTCTAAAGATTCTCGGGCAAGGGAAGCAGCTCTCAGAGTAATAAAAAAGGAAGTGGAGCTTGGGCAAGGCATCCTAAATATGTGCTTTTGTAGAAAGAAAAAGAAACACCTTCTTTAACTGAGCTTGAATGTTATCTTAGATTCATCCTGACCTTGGGCAAGTCACCTGCAAGTGTCCAACAACTGGACAAAAACCAGTCTCCCTTGCAGAGTTGACTGTGGTCAGTCCTTAATTTCTCCCAGTAATGAAGACATCAGGGCACATAACATTGTAGGAAGGTGGATCATTGTTCTGTTTTGAAACTCTTTCTCTTCCTACTTTGTCTAAACATACCTAGTGCTAAGGAAATCCACTCTTTTTTCTTTTTATAATGTTTATCCATCTATGCTGCCGAAAAATTGGGAAGTACAAAGAAAAACATTAAAATCACCTATCATCTTGCCTCCAGAGAGCTGGACATACACTCACACGTATGTGTATATAATGTTTGATAGAAACTGTGATCATTATCCCGTGCATTGTTTTAGAAAATAAAAAGGAGGTAATACGTGATACAGAGGCAGGGGTGCCTCCTGGTTACCACTCACTCTGTGAACTTGGGAAAATCCGTATATAGTTTTTGAGGATGAAATGTATTAATGTATGTATCTGGCACATCATTTATGCTTAATAACTATTACCCAGCATTTTTATTAAACACTTTCCAGTGTCACTACGTTAGTCTGTTTTGTACTAACGTAGTACGGGAGACTGGATCATTGACAAAGAAAAAAGAGGTTACTTTGGCCCTCAGTTCTGCAGCCTGTGTAAGCATGGCACCATCATCTGCTCAGCCTCTGGTGAGGCCTCGGGAAGCTTTTACGCACAGTGGAAGGCACGGGGGAGCTCACGCATTCCATGGCAAGAGAGGAGGTGGTCCCAGGCTCTTTCAAACAACCAACTCTGCCTGAACTAACAAAGTGAGAAGTCACTCACTACTGCGAGGACAGCACAAAGCCATTCATAAGGGATCTGTTCCCATGACCCAAACATTCCTGCTCAGCCACCTCCAATCCTGGAGGCCACATTTCAACAGAGGTTTGGAGGGAACACGTGCAAACCATGTCAGTCACTAAGTATTCTTCCTCAATGGGACTCTGACATGGCTACATGCTGTTACATTGCATAGGCATTCCCCCAATTTATTAAAATGTCTTCTGCTGGGGCCATTTAGATGATTAAAAGTCCACCTTAAACCGGCATGGGAATGCACGCCAGACGTGCAGACAACAGAAAGGCTACCTCAAAGCCAACCTCAAGCTTCCGGATTCCTCTCCCAGCCTGCAGCAATAAAAACATGGTTTTGTTAATTCCGGAAAAGTCTGCCTAAGGTTGGGCACTTCCACTCACCTACTGAGTAGAGAGAAGCCACATGGTGAGATACAAAACGACTCAGCCGGCACCCACAACTATGTAAACTCACAGACTGCCGTTACTCGCATGGGGACTGCTTAACCCAGGAACTGCGTAACTTTTGATTCCTGTTAAGGATACGTCAGTGGAGACAAATCTCCCAGAGTCAATCATTGTTTGCCAGGGACAGCCGATGTTCAAAGGACGACTTCAAGTGAGGTTAAAAGCATGGACTTGTCTGTTTGTAAAGAATCGCAGACTTAGACAAGTTTTTAGATACAGAATTCTGATCTTTAAAGTGCTAAAATAGAGAAAATAAACATTCGATTTCATGGGGTAATTCGACAGTCTTAATCTGAAACAGAAGTACAACAGGGCAACTCCTCACCTTAATTTTTGACCAAGAACAGGAACAAGGGATAAGTATGTATGAATCTACCTATCAACCTCTGGTTTTCACCTTCCGTAAACCATTTGTGGGGCAATTTTCTAACAACAACAAAAAAAAAAAAAAAGAGAAAGAGAAACATCTTGGATTATATTCGTTTCTCTGATAACACATGTAAAATTTTAAAGATTTAAAAAACTAAGAGAAAAGCATAGCTTAGAATAAACGAACTGATACTAAAATATTTTCACTCTATCCTAAAGGTCTATCTTAATAATTAGTAGGAAAATCAAATCCTAAAAATTGATATTTTGGAAAAAATAACTCATCCTGATAAGACAGTAAAAGATGAGGGTGGCTTTTTGTAATATCTAATATCTTCCTTGAAATATATGTATTATGGAGAGACACTTTGCCAAGTAAACTGAATCTAAATCATGTTTTGAAACTTGTCAATCGTGTCAATCTTCTCACTCTTGTTAGAAAATATATGCAGCAATTTTAATATGCACACATCACTTTTTGGGGGGGGGAGCGGAATCTCTCTCTGTCACCCAGGCTGGAGTGCAGTGGCGCGATTTCAGCTCACTGCAACCTCCGCCTCCCAAGCGATTTTTCAATCGTTCAAGCGATTTTTCTGTCTCAGTCTCTGGAGAAGCTGGGACTACAGGCGCCCACCACCATGCCCGGCTAATTTTTGTATCTTTAGTAGAGATGGGATTTCACCACATTGGTCAGGCTGGTCTTGAACTCCTGACCTCAGGTGATCCACCTGCCTTAGCCTCACAAAGTGTTGGCATTTCAGGTGTGAGCCACACATTTGGAGACTAAAGAAAATGCTCTTCTTTGTCTGTCAGCATTCTGAAGAGACAAAGAGAAATTGGGAATGCTGGTGGTTATGCCATCTTGGTTACGCCCAGAGATCAATGTGTGGCAGCGGTATATGTCCTAACCTTTAGGCGGGTTATAGCCCTTGGAGGTGGCCTGAAGAAAAGGCAAGGTAGAAAGTGGTAGAATAACAGGTAAGTAAAATTATCTGATGATTATCTAAAAGATTTAAGAGGACCAAAATGTGTGGTTACACATAGGTAAGATTAGAGGTAACAAAAGAGGTGAAATTCTCCCAAAGAACCTGAGCCTAATGGAAGCTGTGCTTCCACTTCGGTGAAGTGGGTGGCAGAAATCTGTCCTCCATAACGCACTCCTTGCTAAGCGTCTACTCATGCGACCATGCGTGGGAAGTGACCAGCTGCAGAACCTGGGGAGAGGATGTCACGGGACAGTGAGGAGGACCCAGAAGTGGGGATGGGCATGGAGATGCCAAGCCATTTCCACGTGAGCTGCCCTCAACAGTCTTCCGTCTTTCTAGAGGAAGATTTCCATTTGTTTTTGTTATTATGCACTTGAGTTAATTCACCCAACAAACACGCATGAAGGTCTCCATGTGGCAGCCACAGTGGGAGCCAAGATAGCAATGGCTCCCGCCTCAGGGAGTTCACAGCCGGAGGGATGAAACAGAAGTAACTACAGGAGTAACTACCACGATGCCACTGCAAGTGAGAGGAAATGTCCCGAGATGAACGAGTTAGAATATGATAGAGGAATGTCACCCACACGAAGGGGTCAGGACGGGCCCTGCTGAGCTGCACCACAAGGCAGGAGTGACAGTTGACAAGGGCCAAGGGGTGTCCGGGGAAGGTGTTGCAGGGGCGGGGAACGGCGAGTTCAGGGTCTGGAAGGGAAGGACTCATAGGGTCCCAGGGTAGGAGAAAGGGCCAGGCTGTGTGCTGCTTTTGGGCCTCTCAAAGGATTCTGATCTTTG